TAGAAATGGTACTTCGTTAAATAGAAGTGCAATTTAGGAAGAACGATATAAGCCTCACAGATGATGGTATGCTGATCCATAGCAATATTTCTATTGAGTAGGTTTCGGTGCTAATAGTAGATTTTGAATAATAATTATAGTCATATTAGGCCATATAAGACCGATCATTAAATTTTCCTGCTATTACATTAGTAAACATTACGATTCCCACACATCCTAGATAACCTGGCTTCCTAAAAGGAAGTTTCATCCAAGGCGTAATGAAGTATTGACGATGTCAAGGTCTCATAGCACAGCCTACTTGATATGAATATAAGCAAGACAGTAGATTATGACTACACCAGACTAAAGGAGTTTGATTCCAGTTGAGGCTGCTGAAGTAAGGCTAAATAGAATGCAATGGAATCGTAGGGCCTACTCATATTATTGCGGGGAAATTCATCTGTCAGTCCTTTGTTAGCCAAAGTAACCTAGGATGACTACTGCTCTTATTCAAAATAAGTATACGACGGCTGAATCCCGTTGTACCGCAGCTGTTTGGAGTTAATACAACGTTTAGGTTGACGCAGTCACAAAGCATCTTCCCTCGCTTCGGGTGAAAACTGACTGAGCTTTCGTCCATCATATGATGAATATCATCAGAGCTGGAACTCATTTTTGTAAAAGTCACCCGAAGCGAAGGATGTATCATGGAGTACGTTAACCAGAACGTCGTAGTAAAGCCAATCAGTTGCGGCATAACAGGATTCAGTCATCGTTTTCAGGTGAAGCCCACGGATCTCTTTTTCATGCACGTTCAAAATAAGTATAAACTCTCCTATAAATTATTAAACAGATGCCAAGTTAGCTGTCATAATTGGAAGCTTCATTGATTTGACTCAATAATTCTTTGGTTCTCTCCGAAATTTTTACATGAAGAGATGGCATAAAGCATTTAAAAATGACAAACACTTGCAGGAAATTGCGAAAATAAGCAGAATTTGACTATAATAATCATGACTGGATCGATGGGAGCATAGTCACGTAATAAGCGATGGTAATATGTGATAACGACTCAAAATGATACCCATGTGAAACCATGGTCTATTCGCCAGTAAACTATCATACGCAGGACCGTAACTAGAAGTCAAAGTAGCTGTACTTGAATGAAAAATAATGATGACTAAAATGAATATTTTTAAATAAAAGTTGATTACTATCGAACAGTACTTTAAGTAGCATAACCTCATATATGTTGGGTCAGCGTGGCTTCAGGACTAATCTACCTCATTTACCTCTTCAGGTATTTCACGTTTTTCCTAATGTAAACTTTAAAATGGGGCTAAACTTATGGTTTCAATCAAAGAACTGATGAATAATTCAAAATTCAAATGTGAACTATGATACGAGGAGAGACTAATAAGCCGTACAACCTTTCAGTTAAAAAGAAAATATGGGTTTAGCCAGGCTAAGTTACCAGAAATTTTATATAAATTCATCAAGGCAACATTTTTACAAAATAAATTTTCAAAGGTAATCTGGATAAATGTCAAAATAAATTGCAGACTCAAGATTTCAAATGGACCATTGAAAATGTCTTATAATGAACGAACGAGATAACAAAAGCTCTATGAAACGAAGATAAACATAAAAAGACCAATACCATTATATCATTTGAAATAAATTTTCAAGCAGAACAGAACGTGGACAACTTTTGAATACATTGATATGAAGACCAAGGAGTTGCGACCTCTATTTTAGTCGCAGTCTCCTTTCGATGCATAAAGTGGTCTGACCTCGTTTTCAAACTTGGTCGTGCTATCAGGAAGACTTAGTTGGATGCACCTTGTCCGAAGTCCTCTGTTATAGTAGTTATCATAATTTCCAGCATTGGACCATGGACTTGGTACATTCCCAGAATTTTCGCCCTTAACATCATTGAGTCTTGTCATTCTCACCATCAAGTCACACTATCAAAAGACAAATGAACTCAATCCCTTGCAGAGCCTGCTGCCGAACGGTTATGCCATCACTCCTATTTATGTCCTGGCACACCAATCTACTGGCCACACTCTTATGTCATTCCCAATTTGTCAAAACTTCTGACTTTTTTATATTCCATTCCTCAAAAAGTGTGCCATTTTGGCCTAGTTTGGTGTCGCGTCATTACACCTGCTGTTCTCCTTGCCCCCCTCCATCTCGATTAGCCCATCAGACTCGGGTCTCCTATTATATACATAAAACAGAATTTCGAGATATTACCGCAACAGCCAAGAGCACGCATGCGGTGCTTGAACGACTACCTCGACATTTGGTCGAATAGAAGAGAAAAATTGGAAAATATATTGAGGTCTATAAAACAGATTGATGAAAGAATCAAATTTACAATAAATTTAGATGAAAAGGAGTGGTTACCCTCTCTAGATATTGAAATTGAAAGCTCTAATGGGTTTCTCAAGAGGAAATTGTTCATAAAGAAGTCATATGCAGGAAGAATACTCCAGCTTCAGTTCCATCACAACTGCAGGCTAAAGACAGAAATAATGAGGAGAATGATCACCAGAAGTTTATGAGTAAAGGACGTGAAATTCTGGGATAAAGAGTTTGATAAATTGACTCGGATATTCCTCGGCTACGTATATCCGAAAAGAGTAATACAAATAAACGCACAGGCCGTGAAAAGTCAATGGCAGGATGGGGATTATGAAAAAAAGGTAAGGATGGAGAAAGACTAGCAAAAATGGATATGCCTCTATTCCCGCGAAATAGCCCAAAAACTACGGCCAATAATAAGAAAACGAAAAATTCAGGTGACCACACAGGAAAAAGCAGCACTCTTCACAAGTCTACAAATGCAACATGAGAAGATGAACAAATTGGATCGCTTGGGAATTTACTGCATAGCATACGGAGTCTGCAAACAGAAATATATTGGCGAAAATTAGAGAAAAATCCGTGTACGAACCAAGAAACATCAGAGGCTCTGCAGAAAAATGAATATCGAAAGAACAGAAACAGCGTAACATAATGCAGACAGGAAATAAAATAAATTGGAAGTCAACAGAAATAAAGGCCTAATATGGTGATAACACAAGGAAACAGAAGATTAGGGAAGCCATTGACATACTTGGAGAAAAAATCTAATGAACAGGAGATTGGAATAAGGCAGAGTTAGCGATAAATTAGCCTACTGCCTGAGCAAACTCGGAGGAAACAAGAATACGACAAGACCAGTAAAGGGAGACGTCTAAATCAATGATCTAGCGTTAACCATAAAAAAAGGACCACAAGGAAGAAGCGGGTTTCATAAATCAATCGAAAAAGTTCTAAATGAGTGTATTCTGCTCGAAGAAATAACTACAATGCTGGGAGCATGGCGGTTACATGACTAGGGAGACGGATAATCACAACCGTCACATACATTCGGAATTATAACCAAGTTGACTAGAAATCCACTCGAGAGGCAACAGGTGACCAGAGAAAGACGTACACAGTTTTCTCAGGGTGCACAAGTTGAATCAAGGAGATGATCCATGAAGGCAATACTTGATACCTTCACGCATGGGGATCAGAGCCTAAGCATTCTTCTTGGTGAGGCGACAGTGTAAGTGCTACTGAGGGCTTGAGAAATAGTGCCTGAAGTGAAATATACACTTAAACTGGAACCGAATGAAATTAGTCAATTAGAAAGATGAGAAACCAATATACAGGCAAATGAGAGAGATCCAGATAGGAAATCCGAGTCGGATCAGCCAATTGTGAGAGTGGGGCAAGGTGAACAACAGGTCTGATGACGCCACACTAAACTCGGTAAAAATGGTACACCATTTAAGGAGTGGAATATAAACAAGTCAGCGGTTTTGATAGGGCTGGAGTGAGATAAGTGTGTAGGGAGTAGGTACAGTGGATAAAAATAACTTTTGGGAAGCAAGACTAAGTGAACTCCAATGAAAAGTAAGATATACTCATAACATTGTGGGAGAATTCAACTAACATTGATTCATCAACGTAAAGGAAATAGGATGAACACATCTCATATATCTGACTTACTGATAGTCTCGACATCATACTTACAAAGGTGAACAGCACATGAGATGACGCCCCACTAAATTGGCTAAAAGGAGCACACGTGTAGAGGAGCAGAATATAAGCAGGTCAGAGGTTGTGATAGGGCAGGAGTGAGACAAGAGCGTAGGGAATAGATAGATGGCCCAGGTCAGAAAGAGGAGTAATAGCATAACCGTTCGGCAGACGGCTGATCAAGGGATTGAGTTCACTTGTTTCTTTGACGGGTTGCAGCGGTTTGCTGAGAATGACAAGACTCAGTAACGATGTTGACTACGATGCCAGCGAAAAATCTGGTCCCACTCTGGGAATTGTTAAAATCGCTAGAGCAGAGGACTTCGGACGCAGTGCGTCCAGCTAAGTCGCCTTGGCAACACGATCAAGCTGCTAAATTGAGGTTAGATCACTTTTGAATACATTGCCTACATACAAACTTAT